AGGGCACAGGGAACTTTAAGAAGTTTGTGGAAAATGGAATTTAAGTACAAATTTCTGCTGGCACACACACACACACACACACACACACAAAGGATTGAAAAAACATTTTCTGCAAACTTTTCGAGGGCCCCTTGAATATGCTTAAAATAACTGAAAATGGGAGAAAGTTGTTTTAGGTAGAGGAAATAATATAAAATGGCAGGCAGGCAAGGGAGACTGCGTGTTTGGGGGACAGCAAGTTACTCGACATGTGGCTGGATGCATGTAGAGCGTGTGGAAGACAAATGCACGCTTTGGTAGTGTAAGTTACACAGCTTAAGACCTTGTTTACATGAGCTTATTGTTTTACATGTTGTTTTTGCTTTTCTAGCTAGATTATAAGGTCCTTCAGCACAGAGGCTTGCTATTTTGACATTTATATTAATTTTTAAATGTTTTACACTTAACATTTTTCTGTAACGTTCGTTCACTTAAATGAATGGAAATGAATAAAGTTTAAAAATTTCATTTTAAATGTAGTTTTTAGATTACATGTAATCACATACATCTTTGCAGTGTATAACATTTCTTTTTCCAACACGATTACCATGCATATCAGTCAAGAGAAAGACATGAGCAACGAGTAAAATTGAAGTTTGGGGCCTTCCTTCTCTTGTTAGATCTTTAGCTACTGAGCCTCATTCACTCTTTTCTTTTTAGAGGTTTTTGTCTAGGACCTGTATGTTTGCTAGAGAGAGAGAGGCAGAAACAGTGAGAGGGAAAGTGAGAAATCACTCCCCCAGGGAGGATGGCCATGACACAATTCCTTCTCCTACCAGGATCTTGAGCATGCATGCACATGCGCCAAGTGTGATTTTCAAGGCCATGTGGGAGTTCAGTGACGTAACCACCACACCACCTGCTGGTTCCCCCTCATTCCTAAAGCATCAGTTTATGATGCTGTGTTGATGACACCCACGTGTCTTTGTCTTGGAATTAATTCTCTCAACTCCAGACTTGGCTGTCTCGGCACGTCCAAGTTGTTATATTCAAAACAGAGCTCGTCGTCTCCTGGGTATCTGCTTCTTCTTTAGTCTTCTCATTCCAGAAATGAGAGTTGCCCTCCCATTTGCTCAAGCCGGCCACGTGGGAGTCATTCTCAACTCCTTCCTCTATGTCCCTACCTACCCGCCACCCATCAATCACCCTGTCCTATCCATTGATCCTACCTCCTAAATAACTCCTTTTTTGGATTTGTTCATTCTTTTATTGAGATAAAATTCACACAACACAAAATGGACCATTTTAAAATGTACAATTCATTGGTATTTTGTACTGTCATAACCTCTAGCTAGTTCCAAGACATTTTCATCACCCATGAAGAAGTTACCCCCTGCTCCCTCTGTTATGGTTTGACCCCCAAGAGAACGTAAGTTGGAATTCGGTCCCCAATGTAATGACTTGGGAGGTGATGAGACCTTTAAGAGGTGAGCCTGGCGCTCCACTACACTGGATCATAGGTGCACTGTGCTCATGAACAGCTGAATCCTGTCTAAGGAGAGAGAATGAGTTTTCTCTCTTGTAGGAAGCGTTACTTCCTTCAAGAGGGTATTACAAAAATAAGAGCTGTCCCACGTCCCTCTCTCCCTTTCCCTCTGTCTCTCTACTCATGTCCACTGGTCTTTCCCATTTTTTTCTGCCTTGTCGTGATGCAGCAGTGATTGACCTCATGTCAGCCCCAGGTCCTAGGACTTACTAGCCTCCAGAACTGGGAGCCAAACACACCTTTATTCTCTCTTTTTTTTTTGAAGAGGTTTTTGCTATAGGGTGCATGCGCTCGCCAGACAGATAGAGAGATAGAAAGCGCGACATCACCCCTCGGGGGGGATGGCCATGCCACAATCCCTTCTCTTCCATGCTCCTCTCGGGATCTTGGGCACACACGCACACGTGCCCGGCGTGAGTTTTAAGCCACCGGGTCTGGGACGCGAACCACGGTCGACTACATGGGAGTCCAGTGACATAGCCATTACACTAACTGCTGGTCCCACACCTTTATTTTTTTTTTTTGGAGAGATTTTCACTATAGGGCATGTGCGCTCACCAGACAAAGAGAGACATTAGAGACAGAAAGCGAGAAATCACCCCCCAGGGGGGAGGGTCACGCCGCAATCCTTTCTCCTCCATTCTCCTCTTGGGCACGCACGCACATGCACCCGGTGTGGGTTTTAAGCCACCGGGTTCGGGACGTGAACCGCGGTCAAGTACGTGGGAGTCCAGCGACATAGCCATTATGCTAACTACTGGTTCGCCCACACCTTTATTCTTTATAGATCACCCAGACTCGGGTATTTCTGTTTAGCAACATAATGATGGGCTAAGACACTTCCCTTCCCTGAGCTCCTGCCAACCACTAGTCAGCTGTCTCTATGGATTTCTCTGTTTTGGATATTTCAGAAAAATGGATCTGAAAAGGCAACATGTGGCCTTTTGCGACTAATTTCATTCACTTAACATCTTCACCCACCTTGTAGCATGTGCCGGCATTTCATTCGTTCTATGTCTGTTTAATATTCCCTTGTGTGGATATAATGCATTTTGTTTATTCATCTACTGATGGACCTTTGGATTATTTCCATCAGCTTTTGCGGATAGCGCTGCTGTGACCATTCAGTACAAGCTTTTGTTTGAATATCTTTTGTTTTCACTTCTTCTTTTGTTTGTTTTCATTTCCTTTGACCATATACTTAAGAATGGAATTGCAGGGACAGCAGGTGGTGGCGGTTAAGGCGCTGGATTCCCACATAGCTGACAGCAGTCTGAGTCCCAGACCCGTTCACTTGAAAATCACACTGTGTGCATGTGTGCCCAAAATCCCAAGAAATAAATGGAGAAGAGGGATTACAGTGTGGGCCATCCTCCCAGGGGGGTGATTTCTCTCTCTCTCTCTCTCTCTGTCTCTCTCCAATGGGTAAACAATTTTATGACAAAAATGAAAACAAAAACAAAAACAACAAAAAAAGAGCCGTGGAGTGGAATTGCTGAGTGACGTAACAATTCTACGTTTAACTGTTTGAGGAAACAACAAACTAATTCCCATGTCTGCTGCATCATTTTACACTCATACCTGCAACGGAAAAGGGTTCCAGTTTCTCCACATCCTCACTCACATTTGTTCTTTTCCATTTTCTTAAAATGATCAATCTCGTGGATGTAAAGTGGTTTCTCACTGTGGTTTTAATTTGCATTTCCCTAATGACGAATGTAAATAGCTTTTTAATCTTCCTTCTCCCCTGTTACATTGCAACAGCCTTGCTTCACAGGGTAATATTAGGATTAAGTGAACTTATTCCGACACCAGACCCGCTAGCTACAACTTGGGGTTCCTCTTCTCCTTCTTGGGTTAAAATTTGCTAGAGTGGCTCATAGAACAGAGAAACACTTATGATTATTGGTTTGTTATAAAGGGTGTTTTAAAGGATGCAGATGAACAGACACATGGGCCAGGCACGTGGGAAGGAGTGTGGGGCTTCCATGCCTTCTTTGGGTATACCACCCTCCATGTGCTCAGCTATCTGGAAGCCCTCTGAACCCTATCTTTGGAATCTTTATGGGGACTTCATTGCATAGGCATAAGATGCTAATAGACGGGGTGAAACACAGCAAGGGCTGTCTGCTCAGATTCTCATCCTCTCTGTCAGCTTTCCTTCCCTCCTGGGTATGGTGTAGGACCCTTCTGGAATGAGGGTCTTAAAGTTGGGAGAAGATTGAAGTTTCTATGCCTATGACTCATGTTGGGGTAGGTGAAAGGAGGGACTGCTTTTTAAAAATTCTGCCAGAGAGCATATGTGCTCATTAGAGGGGACAGGTGGGAAAGCAGAAAACACCCCCGATGGGTTATGGTCATGCCACAATCCCTTCTCCTCCATCTTGCTTTCTTTTGCAATTTTGGACACATACCTGCCTGACATGTTTCCCTAGCCACTGAGTCTGGGACTTGAACCATGTGGTTGACCACACGGGATTCAGTTGTCCTAATCACCCATCACCAGCTGGCTGGAGGAACTTTCTTTTTTTTTTTTTAAGAATTATTTTATTCAACTTAATTAATTAATTAATTAATTTTAATTTGACCAGAGAGAGAGAAAGTGAGAAAGCAAGCTGCCAGGTCCAAGATTTGAACTGCCGTTGGCCTTGTGGGAGTTCAACACCTTTAATCACCACACTACCTGCTGGCCCCAGGAGGGACTATCTTTTGCCTTTACCTCTCTGAAGCTGTTTCAAAGCTGCTTTAGAAATCAAGGACATAAGGCCAAATACCATGAGCCAGAAACCATGGATAAAAACCAAAGTACATACCTATTGAAAGAGCACAGGTATCATTTCCCACAGCGCTGAGCACTTTCTTGCTTTCTTTGGATTTCCAGTTCTGGAGACACCTGTGAATTCGTGTGGTATTTGAAACATTGCACGTGGTGGTCAAGGAACATTTTGTAGTATTAAACAATTTGTATTATCCTTAAATGTTTATGTTTGTAGGTCTAGATGTATTATAACATAAGTGAAACATGATTCTATTTATTGACAGATGGAAAGAGATTCATTTTGATAAACATTTAATTAGATTTTTAAATAATTATTTTATTAATTTTATTTATTATTATTGTTTTACAAATATAACCAGGGAGAGAGAGAGAGAGATGTACAGTGAGAAAGCAAGCCACCAGGTCCAGGACTTGAACCACTGTTGGTCATGTGGGAGTCCAGTGTCTTAATCACCACACCTCCTGCTGGTCCACATACTTAATTAGATATAAATTTTCAAAAAAATTCAATGAGGCACCAGCATAATGGTTATGTCGCTGGACTCCCATGTAGTCGACTGCAGTTCAAGTCCTGGACCCAGTGGTTTAAACTCATGCCAGGCACATGTGCGTGCGTGCCCAAGATCCCGAGAGGAGAATAGAGGAGACACGATTGCGGTGTGGCCATCCCCCTGGGGGGTGATTTCTCACTTTCTGTCTCTCTGTCTCTCTGGCAAGCGCATGCGCCCTATAGCAAAAATCTCTAAAAAAAAAAATTCAATAAAATGTTTGGCTCTTGAGCAGGAACTTGGTCTTCTATTTTCTCCTCTAGAAAAGAGTACTGGGTCTAGGAACGCCATGCTTCAGCAATCCAAGTTCAAAGTCAAGGGATTCCATCCAGACTGTACTTGCTCCCATTCCTTTCCCATTCTCTTTGCTTACAAATATCTTGTCTTCCTTCCCACAGGAGGCAGTGAGGGGTGAGTAGGAAGTCTGAATAAGTCCTCGGTGGAATGAACAGTGTGCCTGTGATCATCCACTGGACTTCATCCTGGCTGGATCTGGGGAGTCGTAGATGGCAGTGGGAGGGGTAGAGGAGAGTCTCCAACCTGCCCAGAGTCTTGGGGCTCATGTCGTCCTGGCCAGGCCAGCACTCTGAGCTGTTCTCTCCAGCAGCTCTCAGGTCCCCCTGGGCTGGAATGTCTCTGTTCTCAGCACCAGGATTTGGAGCAGTTCCTTCTCAAGGGCCTCCCTTGCCACTCTCGGGGGTTGGAAGACTGTCCCTTCTAAAGTTGGAATAGGGTTGTGAGACTGGATGGGGCAGGGTCTCCTGCTCATTCTTCTCCCAGTTACTCCACAGACCATTAGATCTGGTTGTCCCCAAACTCAGAGATGACAGAAAAGAACTGACCCCAGGAGTTGGGGTGAGGACAGTTAGAAATCCTGGCAGATAAAGAGAAGGGTCAGCCAACAGAACACAGAAAGCCAGAGCTGAACACTAATCCCGGCAGCAGTAGAGGCTTGTCCTTGCTGTCCCCCTGGGTCAGAACGAATGAGCCACACACTGCAGGTTCTGGGGGCAGGCAGCATGGTGCCATCGCAGACCAGTTCGACTTGGGACATTTTTCACTTGCGTTTTAATTCTGGGGCTGTCCTGAGAACTGTCTTCTTGGGCAAATGATTTCTCAGTGCCAGTTTTTCCCTTGAGTGCTGTTAGCTCAGACTTTGGTCTGACCCTAATGCCCGCATGATCTCGGACACATTATTTAACCTCAGAGTTCATCGCCTCATCTGTACAATGGGCAATAAAACCTTGAGCCGTCTTGAGGGTTAAACGAGATAATCGATGGGAAGTAGGTCCCATCAGTAACTTAGGGTCACAGATAACAGCAAGTGTGAGAGCAGGCGACATGGCTTTGAGCTGACTGCCCCAGCCAGATGTGTAAGCTCTCTGAGAACCAGTTCCTCCCCTGGAGGAAGGGAAAGGGTAGCAACCCTTCCTTCACAGGGTTCTCATGGGGCTCCGCTGAGATAAGGTGTAGGAAAGTACTTTGTGGAGTTCTGAACAAACGTGAAGGAGTATTTTTGTTCTTCAGTTTGCCCTCTAACAAAGGCTGAATAAGTACTGGATTGGCCAAAAAAGGGAGGGCAAAGGAAGGAATGTGAATCTTAGGGGGAGTAGCAAAAAGCTTGAATAATCCCTACACTGTTTCTAATACTTTCTGTTAGCTCCAAGAAACAGACACAGGAGGGAGGTGAGGAATCGGGCCACAAGAGAGACAGTGGGACTGTGAGGAGAGGGAAAGGGAGCCCACCGCTGCCAACCCCCAGGCAGGCATGGAGGGTCTATGCCTGGTCAGGGAAAAAAGGGAGTCTCTCCAGTCCCGGCTTCCTCTGTGTCTACCTCCACGACCCTGCTCCCTTGAGACCCACGAAGCACAGCTCCTAGCCTCATGCCAGGAAGTGCTGCCTCCCAACGCCTCCCACCTGGCAGTTACTGAGCAGAGTCAAATATACTCAGGGTTGGAGTCCAGAGAAAAAAGACAGGAGAGAGCTCCGCTCTCCCCAATGGAGAATAGCCTCCCCCTCCCGTGGCCCACCAGCCAGGGCAGAGCCGCTAAAGCCAGTCCCCTCTCCTCCTCCTCTTCCATGTCCTTTGCTTGCCCTTGGTCAGCCTAACCAGGACATGATGCCAAGGCCAGGGCCCTGCTGGTCCTGGGGAGAGACGCTTGGCTGGTGGGATGTGCCAAGGGAATGTTTTGCAGATTAGTGCCTCCTGGGGTGGAACAGCAGCAGCAGGTGGCAGGAACAGGGCAGCAGGGGAGCAAAGCCAGGAGTCCCTGGGAGAGGCCTGAGGACAGAAGCCTTCTTCTCCAGTCTCAGGCCCCCAGACTAGGAGTTCTGGGGACCCTTCAAAGCCTCCTGCCTCAGTTTCAGTCCTCAGTGACTTTGGTGCTACACAGATTACTTTATTTGACCAATTGCGGTGACAATTATGTTGTGTCATAATTACCACCAAGTCCTGCTTTAGACCAAGCCCTTCTCCAGAACAAATTAGAGAGCAGATGCCAGAGCAGGAGAGGAGAGGTGAAGTGACAGCCATGAATCTGAGACAGGAGAGGACAGAGGAGGAGAGGAAGTTCTAACAATAAGAAATAAAGAAGCCCTCGAGGAAGCATCCCAACTACAATGTCCTAAATTTGGCCCTTCTAACAGGTAAAACCTGGTTGAGATTTTTAGTATCTGCATTTTTTTTTTTGGTGTTTTTTGCCTTAGGGTGTGTATGCTTGCTGGGGAGTGAGAGAGAAACAGATAGTGAGAGGGAAAGGCAGAAATCACCTCCCAAGAGGAATGGCGATGCCTCAATCCCTTCTCCTCTCTTCTCTTCCTGAGACCTTGGGCACGTACGCACATGCACCTAGAGTGATTTTCAAGCCACCAGGCCCGGGACTCAAACTGTGGTTGGCCATGTGGGAGTCTGACGATGTAACTGCTACACCATCTGCTGGTCCTCAGATCTCTATCTGTTAAATCAGGCCTGGAAGGTGTAGCTGTTAAATGATCAGCATGTGACAGACCAGCCAGATGCCTTTGGACTGTTCCAAAACAGGAGGACAAGAAGGCAGTCAATCCAGTAGGTGGAGGGGTGCAGATGTCAGGAGGAAGGAGCCTTGTTCTTGGTGGTCAGGCAGGTGCGTAGTTGTGTTACAACATGGCTTGAACAAAAGTGGCATCGACATTGGCTTTCCCCCTTGAGTTAGTAGTGGCCCACCATTGGGCACCCCAATCTAGCTGGCCTCCCAACCTCACAGTTCATGGAGGTGAGGAACTGACACTCGGTCTATGTCAGCATTCTGGATCAACTCAAAAATAAATTTCACCTGGAACTCATAGGCTTTGACAGAGATTTTCTCATTGAGTCCATGGAAGCTGAAGGAAAGAGAGATGAGTTAGGAGAGAAGCAGGGGGAGGGCCAAGGGCTTTAACACAAACATTATCGCTGAGCACTTCCCCCACCCCACTCTCCAATCCCTGAAGCCACTGACTTTGACATTGAGGTGGAGGGTGAGGGTAGGAGGGTAGGAAGTGAAGGCTGGAGAGCCCATTTGTGAGATTTCCTGTTACATTCTGGTCATCTCTCCTGGATCCATGCTTATGACAAATAACAGTGGGGTAGAAAGTATATAAACTCCTAGGGAGCTCAACATTTCCTGCTCTGAAATCCACTCAATAATTTCTGCTCTGGGAAAACTAGCTTTCTACTTCTTTTTCTCTCTTATTTTTTGAGAGATTTTTGTTATAGGGCACATGTGCTTGCCAGAAAGAGAGAGAGGCAGAGAGACAGAAGGCGAGAAATCACCCCCCAGGGGCGATGGCCACGCCGCAATCCCTTCTCCTCAATTCTCTCCTTGGGATCTTGGGCATGCACACACACTAGCCTGATGTTGAGTTTAAGCCACTGGGTCCATGACTCGAACCGTGCTTGACTACTTGGGAGTCCAGCGACATAGCCATTATGCCAACCGCTGGTCCCATCTAATTCTTTTTCTCTTAGGACACAGTCCCTCGCTATACTTATCTTTAAGCCAGTCTGCCACTCCCTCAACTCACTAGGGGCAAGAAAGGGCAGGAAAGGCCACTGCGCTGGACACCTCTTCTCTGCTTCGCCGAGGAACTTCACTGTCAGATATGGCCACCAGCCTGCCTCCTTACTACATGACAAACACCGAACCAAACCAAACCACAGCTGAACCATGTATGTAAAAGGAGAGAAGAAGTAGCTACTTGCCTCCCATTTAAAAAATAAAAATGATAAATATGAAAGCTGTTTTTCAGCTCACACGCACATATTTTCATTCTGTTTACAAGAGATAGCTGGTGGGGGGACATGTGATGAAGGAGGTCATAAAGCAGAACGGTAAATGGAAATCATCCTTCCATAACCTAGGGTTTAAAATTTGCTGAAAAAAATCCCACGAGAGGGTCGTTGACATGCCACAGTGAAAACTGGGGGTCATGCCTTGGAATCCCACAGTGTTTCCTTCCGAAAGTCAAAGCATGTGCCCCCACCCCTCGCCTTGACCTCATGTGCACTTGCATTTAAGACTCCCGAGGAGACTCCCTGTTTTGTAGGTGGGGAAAATGAGATCCAGAGGATAAGCTTTCTCACAAAGGGAGGAAGAAGTGGATTAGCACATAAGGGTCTTCATTCTACAAGGTGCTCACCAATCCCCTGATAATCTCCATCCTTGTCAAAGAGGAACCAATTGCTACACATTCTGAGGAGTGGCTAGATTCTGGCTGTGAAGACAGTTGATCAGTTAGGTCCTGCGTTCTGTGAACACTTGGAAGCGTGGGGTCAGAAAGGGATTGGTAGGCTGGATCTCCTCTCTCTCCTCTGCTTTTCCAACCTGTTGCGCTCACCTTTTGAAGCCCTGAGGGTCCAGGTAGATGGGGTTGAACCGGTAAATGCCAGTGGTAAGGTTTGTGTAGTGAACGGTGTCTGTGTTGCCGATACAAATACCTAGAAAGGGAAGATCAGAAGGAAAGAGTTTATGTGAATAATTAGGCTGGAAGTGGGGAGAGGTGGGCTGGTTGGAAACTATCGACCACTGGGTCACAGTAGACCAATGCCTGGCCCCCTTGGGAGCCTGCAGCTATGAATTTTTTGTCCTCCACTCTACCTTTTTTTTTTTTTTTTTCAAAACCTTACAAAAGACACCAGTTCAGACAGGAACATGAAATCTCCTCCCAATGGCATTGGTGAAATATCCCTTACATGGTCCAAAGCTAAGTGTCCCCCCCTCCGTGATTACCAGAGAGGCCAGAATCATCATTTCATACCCATAGTTGTATCCCTTTGCTGTTTTAGAAACCAGAAATCTAGATATCGCTTCTTTGGCACCTGACCTTTACTCTGTATCACCCTACATCAGAAATATCCTCTGAGGAGCTTTACTGCTATAAAATGCAATCCTCTTGAAGTGGAACATAATTTCCTGTTATTCTCATCCTCTGGAGGAAGACTCTGTCTTCCTAGAGTCAGACCTTGGGTTTGGAAAGTCCCAGAATACTCTCTTTCCAGTCTCTGACTCTTCCAAAGGTGGCCACAGGTCACTCAGGTGGGGCTGTGACTTGTCCCTGATGATAGGTGTGTTCTTTGGGAAAAGACACCCTGCAGCATCAATTCAAGTGTGGTAGGGTGATAGGAGATGGTGATATGTGGGGGTTTATTTTTCCTTTCCTCTCCTGTTTTCAGATGGGTAGGTAGGCCCTTCACAATTTCTTGCTTTGTGGATTTCTGCCAATTGGTTTCTGTTTATCTTTTCCCTCTAAAATCTCAACTCCATTGATGGGATTATGGCAGATGGCCCAGAAGGGAGAAAATAGGGTAGGGAGTCTTGGAGGACCAGGGGTCCTGAATATTTAGAGGAATTCATGATTAAACCTAGTTAAAAAAGGAAAACAGGCCTTGATATTAGAACATCTCCATGAGTCACAGACCAGAGATTCTCTGTGGTCAACCAGCATCTTGTGTCTGAATCCCCTGGAGGTATTTGTCAAAAAGGGCGATTCCAGGGCCCCCAGTCAGATCTAGTTAACTTGAACTTTAGGCATGGGCTTAGATAATAAAGCTTTTAATTTTTAAAAATTTCATTTTGAGAGAGCGTGAGAGAGAAAGGCAAGTTCCCTCAACATTCTCAACAGAGAATGTTGTAAACCACGCCCAGCCCTCCTAGCTAGCCAAGATCATGGGAGTACACACGTGCAGTGTATAAGCCAACCAGGGAACCAAACCCACAGTTCTCCAATGGACCCAGCTTTGCTCCAGGGGTGTGTTACCACTGCCCAGCTGGTCCACTAATGGGCATTTTAATAAAATCCATGGGACTCCTCTTCCACTCTGAGCCGGAGAACCACTCTCTACACATCAATTTGTACGCTATGCTAGAATACTGGGGAAGGGGTGATGCTAGGTGTTGGTCTGGGTTAAAAGATGAATGGGGTTAATGCAGATGGCATGGGTGACAGGCTTTTCTGGACTGGGGATTCTGAGCCGGCCTATTGAGCTGTTATCCTAGAATGCATCAGAATCAGGATCTGGGGTATCTTGACCTCCTCCATGGCTCTTCCAGAGGAGGGTGTCTAAGCCAATCCTTCTCTTTTTGCCAGAGAGGTTGGTCTAGGTTAAGCAAGGACCCTGGCTTGACTGACCTAATTTATTGTTTCTGCTCTTTTCCTGTTTGCTTTCTCACTTCCACCCTGAGGGGAAAATATAGTTCCAGCCCCATCAGGAGGGGAAGCAGCCAGCTGTTTCCAAGCTGAACAGCTGGGTGGGGGTGGGGCAGTGGACATTGTTTAGGAAAAGGTTCCAGCCCCCTCCTCCCTCCCGCCACAGCTGTTGAAGTCATTACCTGGGGTGATGATACTGATTTCCGGGAAGACAGACTGTATGGTCTGGTGGAGCAGCTGGTAGCCTAAGGCCTGGTCATCAGAGGGGCTGATGGGCAGGGGGTCAAAGGCTTTCAACACGTGGAGCTGGACTCGGTCATCAGCTACAATGTTCTTGACGAGTTCTAGGACCTCCGAAGTGGACACAGAGGGAATCAGGTTTCTTCTTTTTTTGGAGAGGTTTTTGCTACAGGGCACGTGTGCTGGCCAGACAGACAGAGAGAGACAGAGAGACAGAAAGCGAGAAATCACCCCCCAGGGGGGATGGTCACGCCGCAATCCCTTCTCCTCCATTCTTCTCTCGGAATCTTGGGCATGCACGTACATGCACCCGGTGTGAGTTTTAAGTCACCGGGTCCAGGACGCGAACCGCGGTCGACTACATGGGAATCCAGTGACATAGCCATTACACTAACTGCTGGTTCCCGGGAGTCAGGTTTCTTATTGGTCTGACACCCAAGTGTTACCCAATAGTCCTGTGTCTACCCTGTCCCCCTTCGGCAAGGCAGAGCCCTGTGATTTACAGAGAGGACTCTATTTTTTAATATTGGGATCTCAGTTTTAGCTGACTAACTGTGAGTAATGTTAAGAGTTGGGTCTTCCTGGAAAGCAATGTAGATTTTGGTTAAGTATTTGGGAAACTAGTCTTAAGCCATGAGTCAGGTGGGGAATTGGAAAATCAGAAAAGTATGTATCTTTCCCCTTGGGTTGTGAGTCATGGCTGGGTGAAAGTATAGGAGCAATGAGAATCTTAACTCTTTCAAGAGAGGGAGATGGGAACCAGCAGTTAGCGTAATGGCTATGTCGCTGGATTCCCACGTAGTTGACCGCGGTTCGCGTCCCAGACCTGGTGGCTTAAAACTCAAGCCGGACGCGTGTGCATGTGTGCCCAAGATCCCAAGAGGAGAATGGAGGAGAAGGGATTGCAGCATGACCATCCCCCCTGGGGGGTGATTTCTTGCTTTCTGCCTCTATGTCTCTCTCTATCTGTCTGGTGAACGCACGAGCCCTATAGCGAAAAACCCAAAAGAGACAAAAAAACAAAAAAAAAAAAAAAAAAAAAAAAAAAAAAGAGAGAGAGAGGGAGATAGCTGTGATGACCCCACTTCAACCTGGGAGAAAAGTCTCATATGTTTCTTGGCCCTCTCTGGGCATCCCTGCTTTCTGTTTGTACTCAGCTACACTGGGTTCAGGAAGATGAGCCCCACACAAAGTCCGAGTTGGGGTACTGGTATTCATGTTTTCTATCTTTACCTCTTTTCCTCAGAAAAGAACCTAGAACATTCAGTTTGAAATGACTAGAGTGAACCCAGCAAAAGTCTAGGTCCCAGGCAGGATGTGGATAAGACTCTGAAGATCAGATCTCATGGAGCCAGGAGGCTGACTAAGGGTGCCGCCTCCCCACCCCCCCGAATCCATCTAGCCACCAAAGAAAGCTTGGCACTCATTTCACCAATTTGATCAGTAGTATCTATATCTATATCTATTATAGAGATTTTTGCTATAAGGTACAAGCACTTGCCAGAGAGACAGAGAGACAGAAAGCAAGAAATAATCCTCTGTCCAGGGGGATGGCCATGTAGCCAATCCCTTCTCTATTCTTCTCTCAGGATTTTGGGTGGGCATGCACACATGCCTGGTATGAGCTTCAAGCCTCCGGGTCCAGGACTCAAATCATAGCTGGCCGCATGGGAGTCCAGCACCTTAACCACTACACCCTCTGCTGGCCTTGGACAGTAGTTCTGTACAACTGCCTCTGCCCTAGAAAAGGGGTGGTGACCCACAGCCAGGGGTCACCTGGATTGGGGGATTATTTTAAGACTATCCCCTTTAGGTCAGTGTCTTGTAAAAACATGTAGATGCCGAATGTGGGGAGGAAGTGAGGGTTCCCACTTTGTCTTAGAACTCATTTGAATCAAACTGAATTCCCTGCTGTTAGTTGAGTGAGGGGATCAGTTCTCAATTATTCTGGGGCCAGCTGGTGGGACGGTGGTTAAGGAGGCTGAAATCCACATGCTGTTTGTGCCTTTTGAGTCCCAGACGCAGCAGCTTGAAAGACAGCTGAGCAGGTACATGTGCATGCCCAGAATCTCCAGAGGAAAACGGAGGAGCAGGGATTGCTCACTACACAATGGGTGGTCGTGTGCTATCTCGTGTTCCCTCTGCCTCTGTCTGCCTCTGGCGAATGCAAAATTAGAAAAAAGAAAAAAAAAAAAAAAAAAAACACTTATTTTTCACTTATCAGAGATTATTTTTCACTCTAGCATTTATGACCCAAATATTCTAATAAAGGAAATAATGTATAGTCACGGTACACTCTTGACCCACTGCAAGGTTCCTGAAGTCATTCCCTATGAGGTACATTGGGACTGTGTCCTCTGAACCTCGCCCCAAATTGCCTAGAGGTCTCTGCCTTCAGAAATCAGTGAAGACATAAATTGGATTCATTCAGTAAGAGGCCACAGAGCCCCAGTTTTCCTCTAGCTGCTAGCCAGGTCCTGACTCAAGGGCAAGGACTGTGTCTACCTCAGTTCTGTATTTTCAGTACCCAGCCCACAAAAGGCATGCAATAAATGCCCTATAGATGAGATTGAAAAGATGTGAACCAATGAAATAACAGGAGTCATCTCATTAAGTACTTGCCCAGGGCTGCACAGTTAAGTCGAGCCAGGCTGGGCATCTCTCTGATTTCACCAGGACAGATTTCACAGTAAAGCAGTCAGTGCAGGCAGGTTGAGGTGCTGTGGAGCAGAACTAGGAAGAGGTGTTCCTCTGAGATACCCCGGTGGTATGAAATCTGAGCCCGAGTTTGAAGGAAGGATATGATGTTTGCACAATGACAAAATCATCTAATGACACACTTCTCAGAACGTAGCCCCATCATTAAGCAATCTCTGACTGTACTTCCAGCGGCAGGAAATGCACTGTCACATACTGTATACTATTCTATTTTATTGAATTGCCGGAGGGAGAGAGAGAGCGGGCATGGCCACACCGCAATCCTTTTCCCTCCATTTCTTCTTCTCATGAGGATTTTCAGTATGTGTCCACATATACCCAGCATGTTTTCAAACCACCACGGCCAGCGTTCCAACTATAGTTGGCCTTGTGGGATCTAGTGCCTAATATGCTGCACTTAACCGTTGTTTCAGAGCAACACGGTCGTGATGGCTTCCTTATAATGAATGAGACGCTGCTTCCTGCTGGCTTTCTCCCACATCTACCCCCTCTCATTTTTTTGAGTGTGTGTGTGTACACTACATGCCATGATCCACTCCCAGCCTCAGCCAGTGCTGGATCATGGGAGTACAAGTGCCTGGAGTGCTCAGGTAAGTGTCTGGATGTGAAACTGACCCACGTGGGTCAGCCTTGTGGATCAATATATCTATCTCTATCTTTATCTCTATCTCTATCTTTATCTCTATCTCTATCATCTATCTATCATCTGTCTATCTCTCTTTATCATCTATCTATCTACCTATCTATCTCTATCATCTATCTATCTCTATCTATCTATCATCTATCTATCTATATCTATCTATATTGCATTGTTCACACTTAGCAAGGTCTCACCTCTGTTGGTCTTAGAAGGCAGCTGTGCTTCTCCCCACCTGCTGTTCTTGCTGCCTAGATGCCTTCCCAGGTCTTTGCTCCTTCTCAGGTCTCAACATAAGTGCCTCTCGGAGAGGGTTTTGCGGACACCTGCACTTACAGTAGCTCACTGCTGCACCCACCATGAACACTCTGTGATTCTGTGACATAGCATTCTGTTATTTTCTTTGTCACACATACTACTTAAAAAATGATGACTCAGGAGCCAGCAGGTCACACAGTGGTTAAGGTGCTGGACTCCCACATGGCCGACTGTAGTTCAAGTCCCCGACTCAGATGTTTGAAACTCATGCTGGGCACATATACATGCATGCCCAAAATCCCAAGAGGAGAATGGAGAAGAAGGGACTGTGGTGTGGCCATCCTCCCTGGGGGGTGATTTCTCACTTTCTCTCTCTCTGCTTCTCTAGCAAGCACATGCACCCCTATTAGCAGAAATCTCTCTCTTAAAAAAAAAAAAGATGACTTGATCATTGCTGTCTCTTCCCACTACAACGTAAGCAAGCACCTTCGAATGGGAAGTTTGTCTGTCTCATTCACTATTATTCTAAGTGCTAGAATAATGTCTGGTGCACAGTAGCCACTATAGAGCCACCTGGTGAATAAATAAAGGAAAGAATCGTCTCTACTACACTGTCGCTGAGCCTTTTAAGTGACGAGTATCTCATTACTGCCCAAGATGGCATATTTCAAAAGGCTCCCTTAAGTGGACTCGCTGAAATGTTCTCTATTGGCCTCGTTTCTACTCCCTTGAGGCCCACTCAGAACAAACTGTCCTTTCCTCATGGTAGCCTATTAAATTCCTAGACTCTCGTTCCTCACCCCCTCCCTGGGGAGGGGTGGTCATGGTGGGTGCAGCAGTGAGCTACTGTAAGTGCAGGTGTCAGCAAAACCCTCTCCCAGAGGCACCTGTGTTGAGACCTGAGCAGGAGCAAAGACCTGGGAGGGCATCTAGGCAGCAAAGAGCAGCAGGTGGGGAGAAGCACAGCTGCCTTCTAAGACAGGGACTTACCTCCATCTGGAACATGAGGGAGAGCAGTTACAGATGAGGAACCTGGGGGTGTCTGTGTTCCCATGAGCAGGCAAGGCTCTCCGCAGGAGGCCCTGAGAGTGTCCCTGATGCATGGAACTGGGGCGAAGGAGTGGCGGGAACAGGACAAATAGGTCCTATGAGGTTTCAGAGCGATGGAGGCTTTCCATTCTTCACTGGGGCAGGGGGTAGGATAGGTCTAGGGATTCCAGGGGTTTCATCAGATAGACTGGGAAGGAAGGCCTAGTGATGGGGAACGGAGAGGAGGGAACAGAGCCAGGACCTGGGGAGATAAAAGCCCCAGCTGGTGGAAAACAGCCTTGAAAAGGGCATGGAATTAGAATGAGGCTGGAAAAAAACGGATGGAAAGAAGCTCAGTGAGGGAATTTAGTGATTTCCTGGCCTCGTGAGCCCCCAGGGAGGGGGACAAAGGTTGGCACCTGATGAAAAGCAGCAGAGCCCAGCTCTCCTGGAACATGCATGGCTCTGGCCAGGCAGTCAACTGCTCCCACTCTGCAGTAAGGACCGTGTGGGGACAGATGAACTTCCCTGCGCTGTGGACCTGCCTCTAACCTGTTACATTCTGGAATGCCTTATCAGCTGACAGTGGTTGGGTGTTCTTTTTGGTTAATCTTTGAAGGATCAGATTTCCCCTTCAAATTCTTTTTAGCGCAACCTGATGTTTGCATAAGCCTAAAGATGTCTAGCATTCTCGTACTTGTGTTCACCTTTGGCTCTTGCTCAGTTGTTACTGCCTGGGGGAAGCCTTAATTGATCCTCAGATAGGATCAGGCCCCTTGTTATATTCCCTAATAGATTCCTTTTTATCATAACCCTTATCATGGTTTGCAATTATATGATTTTTTTTTTTAAAGTCTATCTGGGCCAGCAGGTAGTATGAAAGTTAAGGTAGATGGGTTGCACATGGCTGACCATGTGGTTCAAGTCCTGGACCCAGCAGCTTGAGAAACATACCAGGTTTGTGGATACCCAAAATCCCAAGAGGAGAATGGAGGAGAAAGAGCTGTGGCATGGTCATCCTCCTTGGGAAGTGATTTCTCACGTTCCCTCTCCCTTTTCTTCTCTCTGCTTTTCTCAGGCTAGCACACAAGCCCTATAGCAAAAGGGAAAAAAATTCCATCCATTTCTTCTGTAAGTGACAGAGAGACAGAGTGAGCAAAGACAGAGCACCCTGAACAGAGTCCTGATGCCAGTCTACCCCAGCCTCAGCCAGTTACCTGCGTGCCCGCTCCGACCTCGCCAAGGGGGTCTCCAGATCCACATCTGGAACCCTCCCGTGTGGTCAGCCTTGCAATGTCATGTTCAACTGCTGGGGCATCATCTAACCTCTGACTTTTACCACTTTTAATTGATGCTCTTAGCAGATCGTTGCAAAGCTCTGGGCTCAGACCTTTTCTCTCCTAAATTTACACATTTTTTCCCCATGGGATTTTATTGACTCTAGAAGGTCTGGATATGTTAGTAACACTACAGTTTGCATCTTTAGCTCATGTTTCTCTCTACATCTGAAGTATTTATGATTGTCTGTTAGGATGTTATAAGCTTCATGAGCTTCTAAGTCATTATATTTCGCCATAAACTTGTTCTCCTTCCCGAGTTCTCGGTCTTGGGTACAGGCCCTAAGACCTGGTAAACCACCCATATCAAAAACCTTGGTGTGGGGTTAGTAGGTGGTTAAGGGCGCTGGACTCCCACATGGCGGGCCACGGTTCAAGTCCCAGACCTGGCAGCTTGCTTTCTCACTTTCCTTCTCTCTTTCTTTCTTACTCTGTCTCTCTCTGGTCAAATTAAAATAAGTTAGTAAATAAATTAAATTAAATTAAATATTGCTTTAAAAAATTAAAACAAAACAAACAAACAAAAACCTTGGTGCTACCCTGCCTTTCTCTTGCCCACACCCACATATAAGAGGGGACTTAGAAAAAATTTGTGGACGAATGGAATTAAAGTATGAGTACGTTTTGGTGGGAAAAATATTAGAAATCCAGCATAGCTGTTTCATAAGATGCATTTTCTACAAGCCTTTTGAAGATCCTTCCTATGTGCTAGGACTGCCGAACCCAGCTCTTTCATGCCTGGGGTGGGTGCCTTCTCCTTCTCAGTTCAGACCTAGCCATGCCATGACGACACAGACGTCTCACTCTATTCCAGCACTTACTCTGGATGGCCACCTGCAATATCTCCGTAAGAGCAAATCTGAGTCTATCCGAAGGTGTCTGGGACTTCTCTCCTGCCCATGGAGCAGAGCCCAAGCTCCTTGGCATGGCATGCAAGGCCTTGGTCCCCAAACTTCCATTCCACCTCCCATCAGTTGTCATCCCCCATTACTTTTCCCCAGTTTACTCTGCTCTTTAGCCACAATGAGTCCTTTATTCTCACAAAGTCCTGTTTGCCCTTTAAGGCCCAGCTCAAATTTCTAGTGGTCAGAAAAATGTCTTTTCTGAACCTCAGAGTAGCATCGCTCTTGCTCTTTGCGGTGGTTCTATGTAAATTCATTCATCTCTAATTATTTTTTTTTAGAAGTTGTTGTTACAGGTTGTATGTGCTAGCTAGAGGGACAGAGACAGAGAGACAGAAAGCCAGAAATCACCCCCAGACGGGATGACCACACTGCAATCCCTTCTCAATCCCTTCTACTCCATTCTCTTCTTCTTTTTTTTTTTTTTGGAGAGGTTTTTGCTATAGGGCATGTGCGCTTGCCAGAAGAGAGAGACAGAGAGACAGAAAGCGAGAAATCATCCCCAGGGGGGATGGCCATACCACATCCCCAGGGGAGATGGCCACACCACAGTCCCTTCTCCTCCATTCTCCTCTTGGGATTTTGGACATGCACACACACGCGCCTGTTGTGAGTTTTAAGCCACCGGGTCCAGGTTGCAAACCACAGTCTACTACATGGGAGTCTAGCGACATAGCCATTATGCTAATTGCTGGTCCCCACTCTATTCTCTTCTCTGGATCTTGGGCATGCACGCACACTTGCCTGATGTGAGTTTCAAACTGCCAGGTCTGGGTCTCGAACTGCGGTGGACCATGTGGGAGTCAGCACCTAAACCACTACGCCACTTCCTGGCCCCATCACTCATTGCTATAATTGTATTCCACTGTGTGGCTCCCGCACAGCCTCTGGAAGCAGACAGTTAACTGGGTAGACAGTCTTGGGTATGCCACTAAATTGCTCGATTGCTGTCCTCAGTCTTCACCAACAGAATGAGGATAATATGATTTGTACTTTACAGGGCAGTTGTGAGGATTAAATCGGCGTGTGCATATGTGTGTGTCTAACTTCAAATGCTGCCAAACAGACAGCAAGTACACTGTATACAGGCTTGCCATGATTGCTGCTATGGTGCACTCATGTTTGTCTCCCGCCTCCGACTCCAAGTTCCCCCAAACCAGAGTTACCCATCTGAGGCATGTACCTGAAGACTTTTGAAACATGATAGTTGAACAAATGAGAGACAGGGCCAGTCCTAGGACTGTAGCTAAACCCAGATCCTGAGGGCCATCCTGCCCTGATGCTGATCCAGGTGTCTGGAACATATGGTACGTACCTCTTGGACTGTCTGTGCGGGGTGAATCCGGATGTTGACTGTGGCCTGGGCCACTGGAGGGATGACATTTTCCTAGAGGGAAAGCACAACCTTGGCCTGAGCCAACCTCTCATCTCCCACACCTGATCCCTGCCCAGGAAATCCCATTTCCCAGCAGTAGGAATAGAGAAAATGGATTTGATTTAAGGACCCAGGGCTTAATCTTTCTAGTCTAAATCTGCCTGTTATGTTCTCAGGGCCTTTGACACGTGGCCATATGCAGTGCCAGAGAGGTGTCTGTGCTTTGGGTCAGACTTTGGTGCTTCTTGGTCCCAGAGTGGGTCATGAAGCTGCTCAGAGAAAGATTGCTTTCCCGTGACTGTCCAGGCCCGTGCTGCACCACTGGGGACCTTCCATCTGCCCCTTCTTTCCCAGGGTGCCCAGGACATTTCTGGAGCTGTCGACATTGCTGCTTACTCAGGACAGGGCACCCAGAGCCTCTGTAGGCCCCCAACATGTGTTTGGTCCTCGAGGGGAATGACAATAGGGGTAGTTTCCCCAGTCCTATCATAAACTCTGACTCTTTTTTGACCAAGAAGAAGCCAGGACTAATTGGAGGAGAGAGTTAGGTTACAGGACTTTTCCTTACAGGCAGGGTCAGAACAGACTCCCTGGCTGTGTGTCTTTCTTTGAACTGGTGGAGTGCAAAAAAACACTAGACTTGGGACAGGGAAACTGGGCTGCTACTAATTAGCTGTATGATTTTAAAATAATTGCAATCTCTTTGAGTATCTGTTATTTCAACAGGCAATTAGGGCAATAAGGCTCATAGGGCTTTGCGCAGGATGGAATGGAGTAACAAATGGGAAACTATTCTGGGAGATAAAAACACCATTCAAATGCAAGAGCAGAGACTAGCATTTTGGTGAACTCTACAGGCAGCTGCTGACAACGACTTGGGGCCAGTTGCTCCATTAGACACTCCAGCCAGTTATGCAGGAATTAATTCTGAGGCTCTATTTCCCTCCATCCAACCTGGATCCAGATTGCCAGAGCATTTCAAAGTCACATTGTTTTCAAGGAGAATGGTGTCCCTGAAGAAGTTGTGCTGGTGTGACTGGTAGTTACACCATCTAACTCCCTTCTGGGTTTCGAAAAGGCCTTTATATGGCTAGGCTTGCTTCCTTAGAGAGGCCTTTCAGTGGCCAATCCAATGACAGTGAACCGATTTGCTGAAACGTAATTCTTAGAATAAAAATGATCGAAGTATTGATTCACCTGAAATTATTTCTATAAAAGTAAATCTCATGTAAAGTTTACGTTTGCTAAGGCCACCAATATTTAGTAGATTTTAGGATATGTATGCATATACTATCTCACGTGTATTTCAGATTTTATACATGGCAGGTGAGTTTCTCTCTTTCTTAGGGTAACACCAGGGGAAAATACATCAGTCACTCATTACATTAGTTAGGTGGGTAAATCTTTCAAAATGTAGGGAAGGATTAAAAAAAAGATTATTGTTGGCAGAAAGGTTAGAAAACTTTAGTCTGCAGGACCAAAATGTAGGTAAATATAAAACAGAATGATGGGACCAACAGATGGCGTAATGGTTACATTGTTGTACTCCGATGTAGTCGACTGTGGTCTGAGTCCCGGATCCAGAGGCTTAAAACTCATGCTGGGGGGGACCAGCAGTTAGCATCATGGCTTTGTCGCTAGACTCCCACGTAGTTGACCGCAGTTCGAGTCTTGGACCTGATGGCTTAAACTCATGTCGGGCGCATGTGCGTGCGTACCCGAGATACCGAGAGGAGAATGGAGAAGAGATTGTGGCGTGGCCATCCCCCCTGGGGGGGTGATTTTTCACTTCCTGTCTCTCTCTTGTCTTTCTGGCAAGTGCACGTGCCAAAAAGAAAAACAAAACAAAACAAAACAAAACAAAACAATAAAAACCTCATGCTGGGTGCCTGTGTGTGCTGGTGCCCCAAATCCCAAGAGGAGAATGGAAAAGAAGGGATTGCAGCATGACCATCCCCTGGGGGGTGATTTATCGCTTCTTGTCTCTTTATCTCTCCAGCTAGCCCATGTGCCCAATAGTGAAAATCTCTCTAGAAACAAAACAAAACAAAACAGAAAGCAAATATAAAACAGAATGAATTACAGCCTGAGCACAGGCCACAATAACCCCTTTTTTTGTCTTTGAGGGGGTTATCTGTCGGGACCTACTCGGCTGAACATGTTTTTCTGAGTAAGTAAGGCTGTGGATTAGAAATAAATGCAACAACAAACACACAAAGATGCACGAGTATAGAAAAGCGAGAATGGAGTGGGCCCAACTTCTCTGATGAAGATATGGAATGGGCCTCAGGTTTATTTTTTTAAAGGGCAGAAAATGGGGAAAGAGGACACGGAATCTAAAGAGAACTAGGAAAATGAAATGGAATGCAAAGCTAGTTGTTTTTGGATGTAAATTATCTGAAGATGTGAAAAGGACTGGCACCATGTAATTTCTCTGAACTTTTTGGGGCCAAATCTGACAAACACATGTGACTTTTTTTAGCCTCAGTCTGTCCTATGGTATCAAGTACCCGAGTCCCCCGTAATGACAATAACAGGAAGATAACCGATAACAGGCAGATAGCGATTTCATATGTAAATCACCGTGCTAATGTAGCTCAGGAGCGCATTTCTGTATGTGTCTAAAGGTCACACCATGCTTTATCAGATTGGTTGCTCTCCACAGTTATCAACCCAAGAAACTTAGAGGGCCATGGACACTCCCAGCTAAAAGACACATATATAAGGTCTAGACCCCTTACTTATGAGGCTGAACCCCAACTGATGACACAGGAAAGTCCTGCATGGGTCCTTCCTATTACTCGAATTGTAACCAGAGAGGGCAAGAGGAGCCAGCAGGTTCAGCCCAGGTGTGTGTGGGGGGCGTGGGGCAGGGACGGAAAGTGTACGGGAGGAACCAGGTCATGTTACCTTGATCCCTGCATTGAACATGGTGAGCGCCGTGGTGGTCCTGACCAGTGCATTGGTTATGTAATTTCTTTCTATTAACCTAAAGCAAAAGGACTAAGGTCAGACACTATGAACTGTTCAATGGGGATAAAGAAAGGGTTGGCGGACCACCCCCTTTTCTGAAACTTGGTATTTAGGAGTAAGAGACGTTCTATATATAAGTTAGATGTAGAGTCTGGTGGTTGGGGATGATTAGTCAGGCGCACTTAAGCCAAGGAGAGGGCGGAGTGGGTGGGTAGGTGTGGGAGGGGGGAGTGAGGGAAGGAGAGAGAACACTTTACCTTCTTACAAGGGGCCGAAACAGCCACAGGTTCCTGAAGAATATGCTGAAAGGGAAGGGAAACTGAAAGGGAAAGAACTAGGTGAGTGGAATCTCAGACAGGTGGGTACAACAGGACCCTGATCCCAAGGTTTGGGTCTTTCTCTACTTTAGACCTGTCTCAGGGCCCCTGGTGGTCCAGAGCATGGCTGAGTTCAGTTAGTTCAGTCTCTGCTAGAGCTGAGGTGGTCACTACCGGCTGGGCTTCTCTGATTGGCTAGGACAACAGCTTAGCAGTCTCAAGGACAAGAGGGAACCAGTCCCAAAGGCTGCCTGGGTACACTGGATCTCAGGGTCTCAGATAAGCACCAATAGCCCCCCGAGAACAAGCCAGATCCCGGCACCTTGGCTCAGTCGCTGGCTGGGAATAGGTGAGCAGGGGCAGAGCCCTGGGCAGCACCAGGGCTCTCTCACTACTCTAAAAGCTATTTCTCTGTCACTCTTTTGTGCTTCTTCCACAGCTGACCAGGAGCACATGGTCCTTCCCACACCTCATGTGCCAGCTGCTTCATTGTCATCTCCAATGTCCCACTTCCAAACATGTTTGGCATTGGCGTCTGCTCCAGTCTGGAAGAGAAATGGAGTTCAGGACTAACTCCAGTGAAAACTGCAGCTTGGAGAGGAGAAAGGGAGATGGGTGAAAGTTTCGAGAAGCCTAGCCAGGGGTCTTCTCCTTACCTCATCACCTCCAGCAACTCAACATTCTGAAGCTCTCAAAGCTCCAGCAGGACCATCTCCACTTGCCAGCAGGATGTTTCTTTCATTGCTGGATGCCCATCTCCCAGCACAAACCCTCAACCATGGCAGCTATTCAGTTCAATAGCGACTGAATGAATATAGCTCTCCTTCTCACTTTGTTAAGAAAACCCACCCAGAGGTGAGCTCTGCTGTTGCAGGCTCTGCTGTCCTGGCCCCCAGGTGGCAGCTCTTATTTATCTTTGTTCTCCTGCTAGGACAAGTGGAGAATTTAGACAGCTCTATCAGTCATTGCCCACTGGTGATTTCTGGACTTTGGACTACTCAAGCTGCTGACTCGGCTTCTGTCTGCTGGCACTCACTTGGCACGTGATGTACTGGCAGATCCTCCTCTGATCCCAGCCTGTGCCTTGGTACTCTGCCCCTTCTGTGGCTTACACTTACCCTGGCGTCACCTAGCTCAGCTTCAAGGGGGAAAGCTTTGCTTCTTCAGACGCAAAGAGGAAAAACGGCAGATCACTCATCCCAAGTCTGGCATGGAAGCAGAGGTGGGAGTTGCTTACCTGCTGACAGCGGCTGCAAGGATGCCAATGCTGGTCTCCTTCGGAGGAGCTGAAGAATGGCCTGGAGTCATGCTTACTTGAAGCCGGAGGTTAATGGCACCCTTCTCTGAGACTGCAATCCTGTAGAAGAGGGTCAGAAATTGCTCCCTGCTTTCCCCTCACCCTCAGTTATCCCAGAGGCCCACAAGCTCATCCGTGTAGTGGTCTTATGCTAGGAGTCAGCTTCATGCTGCTCTGAAAAAATCTAGAAGATAAAGGGAAGGAGTGGCCCAGGACAACTTGACAATGAGGGTGATTAAGTCAAGAAGGGTAGAACAAAGAGTTGTCTCAGCAAGGCTTATAGATACCCACCTTGAGGTCATCTCATGAGGTGAGAACCCCTCCCTAGGAGGGGGATGAGGTGCTTACTCACATGGCAACAGGCTTCTGGATACCGGGAATTAAACCACTGAAGATGTAGCCCCCTTCATCCACAATGAAGGCTAGCTGTACGCCCCTTGACTGTAGCAAAGCTGAGATCTTCTTAGCCCCTTTCAACCCCGACACCTGCAGAAACATTGAACCCAGAGCCACAGTCTTTCTCAGTCAGAAACAGACTGAGATAGCTAATGGAGACCCATTCAGCTTAGCTAGGGGTTCTAGAACTTCCCCATCTAGCCCCCTCCCTGGGATGTCAGAGTTGGGAGACCCCAGCCCTTCTCACTTCACAGATGAAGAAACTGGGAGAATGAAGCAACTGCCCAAGGTCAAACTATCACTGAACATGAAACACAATTATTGACCTGTTCAGTTTTCTTTCCATCACACAAATGCTTCCCCGGGTGTAGGTGACACACCACCTGTCTGCTTCAGGTGTCACCAGGGAGTTAAAAATTTAGATCTAGAGGCCAGCAGATAGCATAGTGGTGACACTGCTGAACTCCCACATGGCCAACTACACAGTTCAAGTACCAAATCCAGAGGCTTGAAACTCATGCTGGGTGCAGGTGCGTGTGTGCCCAAACACCCAAGAGGAGAATGGAGGAGAAGGGATTGTGGCATGGCCATTCCTCCTGAGGGGGTGATTTCTCACTTTTTCTCTCTCTGTTTCTCCCGGGTGTAGGTGACACACCACCTGTCTGCTTCAGGTGTCACCAGGGAGTTAAAAATTTAGATCTAGAGGCCAGCAGATAGCATAGTGGTGACACTGCTGAACTCCCACATGGCCAACTACACAGTTCAAGTACCAAATCCAGAGGCTTGAAACTCATGCTGGGTGCAGGTGCGTGTGTGCCCAAACACCCAAGAGGAGAATGGAGGAGAAGGGATTGTGGCATGGCCATTCCTCCTGAGGGGGTGATTTCTCACTTTTTCTCTCTCTGTTTCTCTGGTGAATGCACATGCCCTATGGCAAAAAAAATCTCATTAAAATAAAATAAAAATTTAGGTCTATAGCGCAGGATCCAAGAATCTGAATTTTGGTCAAGGTCCTTAGATAATTCTGGCACACAGACACAGAGAAATTGGCAAATTCACTAGACTGTCTCATGAATACCCTGAAGGTAGGAAGTGAACTGGACTAGGATGAAGTACACTCGCTCCCTGGCCATCCCAGCAGAGGCCTCAGAGATAGATATAGGGCAGGAGGCTTACCTCTTCATCATGGCCCAGAGCAATGAAGAATGATCTCCGGGGGATGTACTTCCTCATCAGCAGAAGTTCCAAGGCCTGCAGGATTGCCTGGAGTTCAGAAGCACAATGGAAGAGGAGAAACGCTTGTTTTTTGGTTTTATTTTGTTGTTTTGTTTCAATTATCAGAGGGCACGTACACTCACCAGAGAGAGAGAGAGAGAGAGAGCACCCCACGATTGCAATCATGCCACAATTGCTTCTCTTCCATTCCTCCATTCTGTTGGAATTTGGGTACCCGTGCACACATACCACATTTTTCAAGCCTCTGAGGCCAGGATTCAAGCTGCAGCTGGCCATGTGGGATCTGACTCCCTTAACAGTAGGCTATAGGGCCACCTGAGAAAGGCTTGTTCTCTAAGTAGGGAGACCAGGGTATCAGAGGTGGTCGCTGCCTGCATCGGGGCTGTAAGAACTAGGATCTGGTGGACTTTCTTTAAAGAGAACAAATTCCGGAGGTTTCTCCAGATGTGAGCAAACAAAGCTCTGCATAAAACCTTCACTAGTGTAGCCAGCAGATGGTGCGGTAGTTGACGCACTGGACTACCACGTGGCCAAATGCGGTTCAAATCCTGGACTTGGTAGCTTGAAAATCATGCTAGGCATGTGTGCACACATGAATCAAATCCTGAGGAGACTGGAGAAGGGATTGCGGCATGGCCACCCACCCTGCCACCCAGGGGTGATTTTTCACTTTCCCTCTTTCTATCTCCCTGGTGAGTTCATGACCCCTATAGCAAAAACTACTTACCTACCTAAACAAATACATTACAAAAACCAAAAAACCTTTCACTACCTGGAGAAACACATAAACATATCAACATCAGGGCTGAAGGGGTACATTTACTCTCATCCCTATCTGCAGTGGAAAAATCAAGGCTCAGAAAAGGGAAGTGACAAACTGATGGCTGGAACCAGATGTTCTAGAGCCAAGGTTCTTTCTACCATAACTTTCTGTCTCCCAGCAGTCAGCTAAGCACCCCCTCCCGGGGTTGGTCTTAGGGGCCCCAAGGCGAAGAGAATAGAGCATCTCAGACCATCACAGAGTTCTTGTTGTCCAGCGTGCCCCGACCATGGATGAAGCCATCACGCTCCAGCCCAGAGAACGGGGGCACCTCCCAGCCTTCTTCAGGGGCGGGCACCACGTCAAAGTGAGCCATCAGCATGTAGGGCTGCAAGCTGGGATCTGAGCCTTGGATGGTGAACAGGTGGCTGTACTCGCCCACCACTTCATGCTGGATGAAACGGGTGCTGAACACTGCAGGGAAGACTGGAGACAAAGGGGGAAAGCCGGCAGGAACAGCCAGGTTCATCAGTTTCCTTTGGTTTTTCTTCCATTTTGTGCTCCCTGCCCTTTTCTCCTTTTCCTTTCGTTTTCTTCTTTCCTTTCCTTCCCTTTTCCCTCTTGCTCTCCTCCTTCCTCTCCTTTCTTTTCTCCTTTTCTTTCTTTTCCTCTCCTCTCCTTCTTTCCTTTCCTTTCTCCTTCCCTCTCCTCTCCTTTCCTTCCTTCCCTTATTCTTGAAAATCAAGTGAAATGATTAGTGTTCACATCCTTATAAAAAGTTATAATGGGGGGAACAGATGGCGTAGTGGTTATGTTGCTGGACTCCCACATGGCCAACTGGGGTTTGAGTTCCAGATCCGGTGACTTGAAAATCACACTGGGTGTGTGTGCATGTGTGTCCAAGATCCCAAGAGGAGAATGGAGAAGAAGGGATTGTGGTGTGACCATCCCTGCACTTTTCCTCTCACTGTCTCTGTCTCTCTTTCTGGTAAGCACGTATGCACTATGGTAAAAAAACTTTTTTTTTTAGTTATAATCATGTAGTTTGTTCATTAATAAAACACCATCTTTAAGTTAATTTTAAAAATAATTGGGGCCAGTGAGCAGCATAGTGGTGAAGACAGCTGGATCCCTCATGGCTGACTGTGTGACTTGAGTCTCGGATCCAGTGGATAAGAAAAAACCTGGGCACATGTGTGTGTGTGTGTGTGCCCAAAATCCCAAGAGGAAGGAGAAATGGAAAAGAAAGAATTGCAGTGTGACCCCACACCCTTACCTCCCCACCGGGGGCTACTTTCTTGGTTTCCTTTTCTCTCTGTCAGGCAAGTGCATGTGCTCTTTGGAAAAATCCTTTATTCTATTTTTAATTTCTTTTAAATTTATTTACTTAAGAGTTTTTCAAAGGTTTTTGACATAGGTCATGTGCAATTACCAGAAAGACAGAGGCAGAAAATGAGGAATCACCCCCTGGGGGGTTGTCTATGCCACAATCCCTTCTCTTCCATTCTCCTCTCAGGATTTTAGGCACACATGAACATGTGCCCAGTGTGATTTTCAAGATTTCAGGTCTGGAACTTGATCTGCACTTGGTCATGTGGGAGTCCAGTACCCTAACCACCATGCTACTTGCTGGTCCCAGCAATTTTTTTTTTCAGTTGAGAAGTAATCATCATAATATCAATTTTTTTTGAGAGGTTTTTGCTATAGGGAGCATGCACTTTCCAGAAAGACAGAGAGAGACAGAGAGACAGGAAGTGAGAAATCACCCCACAGAGGGGATGGTCATGTCACAATCCCTTCTCCTCCATTCTCGTCTTGGGATCTTGGGCATACATGTACATGCTCTTGGTGTGAGTTTAAGCCACTAGGTCCGGGACTTGAACTGTGGTCGACTATATGGGAGTCCAGCGACATAGCCATTATACCAACTGCTGGTCCCATAATATCAAATATTATACAGTACTTATGCTATCAGACATTGGGTATGTATATGGAGGTAGGGATGGCAAGAGCATGGGGCAGAATTCTGGACAGGTAAAAGGAATCTCTAAGTTCTACTTTTGATTATGTAATACTTATTGACTGACACATGTTTAGGGCAAAGATTGGGAGAGTTCAAACTCCAGCCCAGTGACTTTATGGCTTAGTTCTTCAAAGGGCAAATATGTAGTCTCTATTCCACATCTCTGGAACTCATGGACTCTCCCTTTCATGCCCTTCCTTTGTGTACCCACTCAAAAGAGACTCATGGGAATTAGACTGTCTTCTGATCAGTCACAAAATTAAAGTCTTCATCACCTTGCAAAAGAGCTGTCTCCAGTGCTACCTGTGCCCCCCTCCTCCCAGCTGGCAGCTGACCTTTACGAATGTATTCTCCAAACTCAGCCAGAGCTGTTGTGTTGGACTCCATGAGGTTGAAGGACACTGTTGGAATCTGGATGGCACCTGTCAGAGTCAGTCGGAGATGGAAGATTAAACATTAACTACCATAGTCTTTCCCCCCAGTTCTCTGTGCACACGAGGTGTTTCACACATCTGTTATCTTATTGCAGAGGGTAAAGCAATCCTGTGAGGTAGATGTGCTGTTTTTCCTAACCTGAAGATGAAGAAACAAGCTTAGAGATGTTAGGTGAGCTGTCCAGTATGGCCCAGCAATGAACAGCAGAACTAAATTTAAACTCAACTCTCAATTTGGAAGAGCTAGGTTCAAATCCTAGTTCTGCCAATAGGGTAATAGGATTCTTAAAGGAAAATAAAGTCCCAGATTGGAGAGAAGTAGATTTAGACCTTGACTCTGAGTAGGAACTACTGTACACTTCCTGCTAAGGTCTTTTTTTTCTCTCTAATATTGGGTCATCAAAAAAGTCACGATGGGGACCAGCAGTTAGCATAATGGCTACGTTGCTGGACTCCCATTTAGTCGACCATGATTCAAGTCCCAGACCCAGCAGCTTAAACTCATGCCGGGTGTATGTGCGTGTGTGCCCAAGATTCCAAGAGGAGAATGGAGGAGAAGAGATTGTGGCGCGGCCATCCCTCCTGGGGGATGATTTCTCGCTTCCTGTCTCTATGTCTCTCTGTCTTTCTGGTGAACGCATGCACCCTAGAGCTAAAACCTCTCCAAAAAAAGAAAAAAAAAAAGATAATGGAGCTAAAAGGGATCTGTTAGGAAATAATAAAAGAAGAAATCCATTTTGCCACAAAACATGAAAATAAAAATTATTTATTTATTTATTTATTTATTTATTTATTTATTTAAAATTGGTCAGAGAGGGATAGAGTGAGAGAGAAAGAGAGAGAGGGAAAGTGAGAAAGTAAGCTGCCAGGTCTGGGACTCAAACCATGCTTGGCGATGTGAGTCCAGCACCCTTAACTGCTGCGCCACCTGCAGGCCTCCCCTAATGACTTACTATAAAAGCCATTCTAACAGGGATGGGGGAAATATTTCACTGAGGTTTCAATTTTCACTTTCCTGAGAATTTGTAATGTTGAATTTCTTTTCATGTAATTGTTGGTCATTTGAACATAATTTTTGATTGGTGTATGGTAGTGCTACAAAGACAGACATATAGTGCAACAGCAAAAAATTAGGAAGTCCTTGGGGCTGGCAGGTGGCATGGTGGTTCAGGATGCTGGACTCCCACATGGCCGACTGTGGTTTGAGTCCCAGACCTAGCAACTTGTTTTCTCACTTTCTTGTCGCTCTCTGGTCAAATTGAAACTAACTAAATAAAGTTAAACAAACTAATTCTTTAAAAAAAAATAGGAAGTCGAGAAATATTGGGGATTTCAAAAGTTGATGAAAAAAGGAAATGAAAAATAAACACAAAAGTAGAAACCTTATTTCTCAACATAAGCACCATAACTTTCAAGACATATTTGTAAGCAATAAATATCAGCCATGTAAGTCATCCCCAAAGAACTGAGGGTCTTGGGAATTTAACCCCATCAATGCAGTCTTATTTACATTGTTACCCAAAGAACAATAGGTGCCCTTTAAAGACAGGAAACAAAAAGAAGTCAGAAGGATCTAAATCAGGACAGAAGGTAGATGCTAAAACCATGGTGGCCATGACCTTTGCTCTTGACTAGTCTTTTGCTTTGACTAGATCACTTCCACCACTTGATAGCCATTGGCTTGATTGTGCTTTGTCGTCAGCATCCTACTAATAAAGCTGCGTTTCATCTCTTCTTAGAATGCTCTGAGTAAATGCTTCAGGATCTTGATCCCATTTGTTAAACATTTCCATTAAAAGCTCTGCTCTTGTCTGTAGCTGATCTGGGTGCAACATTTTAGGCATCTATCAAACAAAAGATTTGCTCGCTTTTAGTTTTTAGTTAGAATTGTGAAAACCTAACCAGTTGTTTATAGTGTTGGCCCTTGTTTCTGGGGTTCATTGTCTTCAATTAGTACATGAACAAGATTAATTTTGTCCTAGCAAATTGATGTGAATGGTCTGCTGCGGTGGGTGTCGCCTTCAACATTGTCTCATCCTTCTTAAAACGAGTTATGCTTTCTTAAATTAGTGATTTCTTTGGGACATTATCCGTAACTTTTTTTTTTTTTTTAATGTGAGCCTCAGAACAGTCCCTCTAGCAATGCATTTTTATCATTTGTATAGAGTAGGGGAGTATTGAGATCCAGCTAGCAGGACTTGTTTTTCCTTTCAGAGAGAGATTTTTGCTATAGGGTGCATGCACTTGCCAGACAGAGAGAGAATGAAATACAGACAGACAGAAAGCAAGAAATCTCACCTCCACCCCACAATCCCTTCTCCTCCAGTCTCTTGGGATTTTGGGCATGCACACACACGCACCCTGCTTGTGTTTTAAGTCCCCAGGTCCATAACTCAAACCATGGTTGACTACACAGAGGTCCAGCAACACAACCATTATGCCGCCTGCTGGTCTTCAGCTGGAAATTTGATGTTACATGAACCAGTGGTTGTATGGTGGGATTTGGTTGCACAAACAAAAATATGGTCATTGGGGGGATGATAGCACCTGGCCTGCAGGGGTGCTGGGTGAAGTGAGTGAGTGATGGATGTGACATCCAGACCACAGTACCCATGATTCCAAAAAAGAGGTATTAAAAGAGAGCATGTGGTTTAAGAAAGCAGTAGCTTCATTAAAATGGATGAAAGCAATTGTTAAAATACAGGAGAAAATAAAAATGAACTATGTAAGGAGACACAGAGGGCAAGAAATGTAAACTGAGGGCAGTCCCAGCCTCAGATGGCAACAGTGCTCACAGATCAGTGCATGTCTATTAAGCTCAAATTTATTTACTATTGTATTAGCATTTCATTAAATACTTAGTATATATGATATATTGGGCTGGTTGCAGTAGGAAAATAACATATGATTCAAATATTCACTGAGCTAAGACATCAAGAGGGAGGAAAGATAAATGAATAAATAAACGCAAGGAAGAGTGCCATAGTTGTAAACAGCAATGGTTATAATGATAAACACCCTTAGAGAACTCCTATTCTTTTTTTTTTTCTTTTTTTTTTTTTTTTCTTTTTGAGAGGTTTTTGCTATAGGGTGCACACGCTCTCCAGAGACACAGTGAGAGAGAAAGTGAGAACACCTCCTTGGGGGTGGTGAGGGGTGTTGACCATACCACAATCCCTTCTCCTCCATTCTCCTCTTGGGATTTTGGGCACATGTGCACATGTACCGAGCATCAGTTTTCAAACTGCCTGGTCTGGGACTCAAACCACAGTTGCCCATGTGGGAGTCCAGCACCACAACCATTATGCCACCTGCTGGTCTCAAGAATGTCTATTCTTTTTTTTTTTTTTTTGAGAGGTTTTCCCTATAGGGCACGTGTGCTCGCCAGACAGACAGAGAGAGACAGAGAGACAGAAAGAGAGAAATCGCCCCTCAGGGGGGGATGGCCACACCGCAATCCCTTCTCCTCCATTCTCCTCTCGGGATCTTGGGCAAGCACGCACATGCGCCCGGTGTGAGTTTTAAGCCACCAGGTCCGGGACACGAACCGTAGTTGACTACATGGGAGTCCAGCGACATAGCCATTACGCTAACTGCTGGTCCCAAGAATGTCTATTCTTAATAAGGAAAGCTTTCAATACAAGAAAGGTAGAAGCCAGATCTATAAATGTACTCAGTTTGAAATTTATACTTTAAAAGAAATGGTGTATGGGAAGAGATGGGAAAATTTGAATAATTTGACTTCTTGACAGGATTGCAACTCATCTTGGTGCGTCTAATTAATAATGCATTTTACTATGTTAGTCGACACCTAGATGTGTTTCTCTGGCAGTACTTGTTATTGAGTTTTTCCTCACAGGCTTTGACTACTGAGAATAATAATAAAAATCAGCTAGGTAAATATAGTCTGTTCTGTGCTGCAACACTGTGTGATAGTACCCCAGTCCTTTGGTGACTCACACACAAGTTATATTCCAAGCATCTAAATCTAAAATTGGAGTGTGTATGCTAGCACAGCTTGAATGCCTCGCTTTGGCAGTTTTTATCTAGAGCAGCACTCCCCGACCTTTTTGGCACAAGGGACTGGTTTCGTGGAAGATCATTTTTCTATGGATTGGGGGTTAGAAGTGATTTATGAGAGCATACAACCTGGATCCCTCACATGTGCAGTTCACAATAGAGTTTGTGCTCCTATGAGAATTTAATGTGGCTGCTGATCTGACAGGAGGCGGAGCTCAGGCAGTAATGCGAGTGATGGGGAGTGGCTGTAAATACAGATGAAGCTTGGCTTGCTCATCCACTGCTCACCTTCTGCTATGTGGTCCAGCTCCTAGTGGGCCTTATTCTGGGGGCTGGGGGTCCAGCTCTAGAGTTATATAAATGAATACCACAAAGGAATGTTAGTTATCATTAGCATTAGTGTCATATATGTTTATTTTTTGAGAAGCAAAAGAGGAAAAAAACATTTGAGTTTCCATTTTCCAGGAAAAAACTTGTAAGCTATTAGGTGCCAGGCACTATGACAGTCATTTTGCTTTTCTTATCCCATTAAGTCTCGTAATAAGCAAATAAATAAGTTATTAATAACTACATTTGAACCTTAAGAAACTGAAGTTCAGAGAGAGTAAAGACTTGCCAACCTCACTCAAAGAGCTCAAAGCCACACATAGACTAAAGCTAAGGACTTTATGACTCCAAAATCCATCCTTTCCCGTAACTCAAAATGAACTTTTGCTTTAATTACCCCCCTTTTTTTTTCAGTTACATGCACAGAGGTCAACCTCTTGCAATGAAGGGACACTATGACTTGATAAACCTAAAAATAGCTGTTGTCATCTCTCGAATGATATCATGAAGGTGGTCGCAGTTATCACCTAAATATATACAAGTTAGAAATGCTTTCTATGTGGGGTTGGTAGGTAGTGTGGTTGAAGGCGCTGGACTCCCACATGGCCGACCATGGTTCAAGTCCCAGACCTGGCGGCTTG